CCTCAACCTCGGAGCCCGTCAGCAGCTGTCACCTTGTGCCCACAAGGACATGCAGAAGATGCTGAAGATGGTGCAAGCCGCCACTCACGAGATCCTGAAAGAGGATTCCGGAGATCTGGAACCATATTACGTCTTGGGTAAGGGGCCCATTTCTTGAATTAAAATCTTAGAATCGGGACATCGAATCCAGCATTGTCCAGTGCAGGAATAAAATTTAAGGAGTCCAAATTAAAATATCTCGGACGTATCGCTCTCTAATCTCCTCTGAAACCATGCAGTGAAGAAAATCCCACAATTCTTCTGGATTGCGGCGTCCATGTGTTGAAGGAAAAGTCTTCATCCTGGTTCAGTCCAAGCCGGGAATAAACAAAATGGAGACTGCTTTAGAAAGAAGGTTGCAGTTTATTGAAGAGGAGAGCCAGACAGAAAGATGGCTCTGGAGGAAAAGAGAGAGAGCCCATGTAGGGAGTGGGTTTTTATATCCTCTGGGGCTCTTGAGGTTGTTTCTTGTTCCTATTTGAGGCTTTGTATTTCCTGTGTCATGTATTTTGACCTGTGTACCCTTTGGCATTTGTGGGTTAATCCTATCTAAGTTCTCCAATCTGGAATGACAAAGAACGTTTTGACATTCCGTGGCACATCCAGTCTGATATTGGGGGAGGGCCAGCAAATCTGTTTTGAAGGCTAACTAGGAGAATTCTGGGAGTGGAAGCCCACCCCTCTTAAAGCATGCTGGCTGGGGGATTCTGGGAGAAGAGGTCCATCCACCTTAAAATATGCTGGCTGGGGAATTCTGGGAATGGAAGTCCACCCCTCTTAAAGCAGGCTGGCTGGGGAATTCTGGGAGTTGAAGCCCACCCATCTTAAAGTTGCTAAGCAGCAGAAAAGCCTTCCTTAAAATCCCCCTTTACCGTTGCAGAGGCTGAATACGTCGGGGACTGGCGGCGCGGAGGGGTCCTTTTCTACCGCTTCATGCTGCAGGATCTACAGCACTGCATGTGGAATCTTGATCCCTGGACCTCCTTCGGCGACATCCGATCCTTGGAGAAACCTCCAGCCCTGGTCCACATCATCTTGAAATGTGTGGTGCTTATTTTGTACCCGCAGTGGGCTGGCACGGAGGAGGTGGAGAAGTGGAGCACCTGCATACAGGTGAGACACACACACACACCCACAGCCAGCCAGGCTGGATGGAGGAGTCAAGCGAGATGCTAGCTTGGAGTCTCTACACAGCTGCAAAAGACAGAAGCTTGACCTTCCCCGAGATCCATGAAGCCTGATTAGGCCATTCCCAGGGGAAGGCGAGCAGTCTGCAGCAATTCTTGCAGCGCAGGTAGTCCTCAGCGTACGGCCACCATTGGCTCCAAGATTTGTGTTGCTAAGCGAGACATTTGGGAAGAGAGTTTTGTCCCATTTTACAACCAGTCTTGCCACAGTTGTTGACTTTGCTTGGCAGAAGGTTGCAAGAGGGGGTCACGTGACCCCTGGACACTGCGACCGTCATAAATACGAGCCGGTCGCCAAGCGTCCGAATTTTGATCACGTGAGCACGGGGATGGTGTAAAGGTCGTAAGTGTGAAAAACGGTCATTGTCACTTTTTTCAGTGCCGGTGTGACTTTGAACGGTCATGAAATGAATGGGAAGTCGAGAACTGCCTGTGTTCTTATCCCTAACCTATCTAATTTTGTCTCATGTCAATATCTTCAGATTTTCATCTTTTAGTGTCTTCTGCTTTTGCTTTTATGATGTGGTCAGCTTGACAGCGAGATGGGGGGCACATACATTTAATGAATAGAATAGAATAGAATTAAAATAAGAATGGAATGGAATGGAATGGAGTAGAGTAGAATAGAATAGAATAGAATAGAATAGAATAGAATAGAATAGAATGGAATGGAATGGAATGGAATAGAATAGAATAGAATTATGGGATAGAATAGAATAGAATAGAATGGAATGGAATGGAATGGAATGGAATAGAATAGAATAGAATAGAATTATGGGAATAATAATAATAATAGAATAAAATAGGATAGGACAGAAGAGAAGAGAAATAGAAGAGAAGAATAGAATAGGATAGGATAGGATAGGATAAAATACAATTACAGGATAGAATAGAATAGAATAGAGAAAAGAGAAAAGAATAGGGAATAGAATAGGATAGGATCGGATACAATAGGATAGGATAGGATAGGATACGATAGGATAGGATAGGGTAGAATAGGGTAGAATAGGGTAGAATAGGATAGAATAGGACAGGACAGTGATGGCGAACCTTTTAGAGACCGAGTGCCCAAACTGCAACCCAAAACCCACTTATGCATCGTCGGGGGCCGGGTGGGTGTGGCCCATTGGGTGGGCGTGGCCCATTGGGTGGGCGTGGCCCATTGGGTGGGCGTGGCTGCGGTGGTAACGGCAGACTGGGTGGGACCAAAAAGTTCAATCAATCAATTCCAACTTTGCAAGATCTTTTTTTTCCCCGCGAGGAGTTGAAATTGACTCATTGATTGACCCTTTTTTTTTTTTTGCACACGGCGGCGGAGGCTTAAAGTGAAAAGGTTTTATAAAACCCAGCTGAAGGCCTAGGACTGGGGTGACAGCGTGCGTGCCCACAGAGAGCGCTCTGAGTGCCGCCTCTGGCACCCGTGCCATAGGTTCGCCATCACTGGGATAGGATAACAGAGTTGGATGGGACCTTGGAGGTCTTCTAATCCAGCCCCCTGCCCAGGCAGGAGACCCTCTACCATCTCAGACAAATAAACAGAGCCCAGTCTCTAAGGGACACCAAGGCACACACACACCCTCCTCCGAAAGCAGAACTGCGCTCAACTGCCCTCTCTGGGCCCACCTCCCATTTTTGTAGCCCCCCCCCTCCCTCCCATTGCAGAGGAGAACCTGCTCTGCAGCCCTTTTGGCTCTGATCCTGATGACCTTCTCTTCTCCTTTGGCTTCCTGCAGAAACTCGACGGAGAACTCATTGAAAACATTTGCTACTTTGACCCCACGGCTTCCTACGTGGAGGTCCGGCCGGAGGTGCTGTACAGCTGCCTGAAAGGTACCCGATGCGGGAGTCAGGGGGGTGTTACGGGATCTCCTCCCTTAAGAAGGTCCATCTGATGGGACCCAGAAGAAGGGCCTTCTCCGTGGTGGCTCCCTCGTTATTTGAAGGACCGTCTTTTCCCAATTATATTCACCTGACCCACCAGAGGGGGGAGGTGGGGGATGTTACGGGTCTCTCCTCTTTAAGGAGGTCCATCTGGTGGGACCAAGAAGAAGGGTCTTCTCCGTGGTGGCTCCCTCCCTGTGGGACATCATCCCTGTGGAGATAAGATTGGAAATAAGACGTTATGGGTCCCCTCCCTTAAGGAGGTCCACCTGGTGGGACCCAGAAGAAGGGTCTTCTCCGTGGTGGCTCCCTCCCTGCGGGAAATTATCACTGCCGAGATAAGACTGGAAATAAGACGTTATGGGTCCCCTCCCTCAAAGAGGTCCACCTGGTGGGACCTAGAAGAAGGACCTTCTCCATGGTGGCTTCTTCCCTGTGGGACATCAACCCCATAGAGATAAGACTGACCCTTGGCACTCTAGCATGTTATGGGCCCCCTCCTTTAAGGAGGTCTCTTTGGTGGGACCAGGAAGAAGGGCCTTCTCTGTGGTGGCTTCTTCCCTGTGGCACATCATCCCTGTGGAGATAAGATTGGAAATAAGACATTAAGGGTCCCCTCCCTTGAGGAGGTCCATCTTGTGGGACCCAGCTTTCTCCGTGGGGGCTTCCTCCCTGTGGGACACCATCCCTGCGGAGATAAGATTGGAAATGACATTATGGGTCCCCTCTCTTAAGGTGGTCCATCTGGTGGGACTAGGAAGAAGGTCCTTCTCCACAGTGGCTCCCACCTTGTGGGACATCATCCCTGCGGAGATAAGATTGGAAATAAGACGTTATGGGTCCCCTGCCTTAAGGAGGTCCACCTGGTGGGACCCAGAAGAAGGGTCTTCTCTGTAGTGGCTCCTCTCCTGTGGACAGGAACAGGGGCGAAACTTTGGCCCCCTCGGAGAGGGTGCGCAATTTGGGGGTCCTCCTGGATCCACGGCTGACACTGGACGACCAGTTGACGGCTGTGGCCAGGGGGGCGTTTTACTGGGTACGCCTGGTGCACCAGTTGCGGCCTTTTCTGGACCGGGATGCCTTGCGCACAGTCACCCATGCTCTTGTCACCTCCCGCCTGGA